AAAATATGGGTTAATACAAAGAAAAGGGTAAATTTGGTTCAAACATAACTTTTTTCTGAGTGTACGAAAATTTTTACTAATTAATTATCAAAAATTGGAAATTAATATATTTTTTTTTATATAAAATACAAAAAAAAGTGGCAAATTTCTATATAAAACAATAGAAAATTATTATTGTGAATAAATATTTTTAAAAAAATATATTTTTTGTTAAAAAAAAACTGAAGCAGAAAAAAAATTATTTTAATTAAAAGAAAAATTATTTAAAAAAAAAAAAATAAGTGAAAAATGCAGTGCATCAAAAGAAAGGATAAAACAATATTTTTGCAAGAACGGGTAAAGATGCCTGACCTGGACCAACTACTAGGCTATATTGAATAGGCTGATATCGATTCTTGGGGGCTGAGAGTGTTGTGACTGGGTCTCCGTTCACACGGATGTATCCTAATAACGCATGCCTATTGCCTGTTTCCTAAAAAACTAGCAGCCGAATTTTTTTTTCAAAAAAAAAATCCTATGGCACAAAAAGAATTTTTTTTAATACTACTTTTTTAAATCCAACTCTTAATAAAAAAAAAATAAATATCCTTTTTTATCGAAAATCCTAAATAGTATTACAAAAAAAATAATTTATAATTTATCAATAAAAAATTCCAAAAATTTCGATTTTTTTGTAGAAAAATAAATTAATGAGATTAATTCAAATTATATCAAAAATACAAAATAACAACACGTTATTCACGGCTGTAATTAGCATTTACAAGAGTTTAAATTAAGTCTTCGTTCTTTTTAGCTGAAAATAAAACCGTAAGTCTTTGACAGGAACAGCATCGAGTAACATGTATAATTGTATTTAATGAAAGACTCGCAATCATCACGAACCGTATATATAACGTTAAACACGCGAAACTTATGTTCAGACTTATAAACACAAGCGCGCACCTTCGTGGGAATCAAAAGAGTATACCATCAAATGGAGTATTTAATTATTTTCTCTTGTTTTTTCTTTTCTTTTTTTTTTTTTTTTGCCTCTCTATCAATTGACAATAAAATAGCAATACAAACTGATATAACTTTGAAACTGTCGATAAAGTCCTTGATAGAATTCATTACATTGGGGAGTTGTAAACAGTATTAAGAGAGAAATAGAGAAAGAGAGAGAGAGAGAAAGATCAAGACGCAAAAGCTAAATTAGAAACACGTTCGTGTGGAAAATGCGAATAGACCGAAACCTTCAAAATGGACCAATTTACACGTGTTTCCAGAGCAGCAATTGAACCTTGCTAAAATTGCGAAGGTCTTTTGCGAATTTGAATTAGATGCAACTGCATTTTCTAATGTTTAACAAAAAAAAAAAAAAAAAAAAAATGAGAGAAAAGAATTTTGTTTTCTAATTTGTAAATAAAAAAATTTTTCCGCTATTTTAATTCTCTCAAATTGAGAATAATTTTTTTTTTTTTTTAACAAATACAGTAAATTTATTTATTTACTTTATAATTTATTTTACTATTTATTTTATTACACGCATAGAAAAAGTTTGCTGTGGCAGTGAACTATTTGCTGTCACATCAAATTACGTTATAGCTAATATAGGGACAGGTAACAAATTTACAGTGAGGCCAAAAAAGTTTTGCTACCACTTGGAAAGATTTCCCAGAAAGCGACCCTTGGAGGTTCTATCAGAATTCCACCGGAACTTCCAACGTAATTCCGTCGAAATTCCATCGGAGTTACAAAGAATTTCCGATGGGATTCCGACGGAATTAGGACTCTAAAAATTTTGGAAAAAAAATTAATCGGAATTCCGTCGGAATCCCATCGGAAATTCTTTGGAACTCCGATGGAATTCCGACGGAATTACGTTGGAAGTTCCGGTGGAATTTTGATAGAACCTCCAGGGGGCACTTTCCGGGGAATCTTTCCAAGTGGGCTGAGATAATAAATTTTTAAAAGTTAAGACTGATATTTGTTTATCAGAGCAAACTTTTTTGCTGCCATAGCGAAAAAATTTAGCTGTGGTTGCTAATTTTGATAGATCCGATAGCAAACATTAGTTAACATATGTAAACAATTTCTTTTTTTCCGTGTATTTATTTTTTAATTTATTTTATAATTTAGTTATTATATATTTTAATTATTTACTTATTTCAAGAATTTTTAATTTTCTAATTTTTCGAGAACTCTACATTTCTATTTGCAAAAATAAAAATTAGTGAACAAATAAAATAAAGAAGAAAATTGATAAAATTTTCTGATTTTCGTGTTTATATACGAAAGGAACATGCATAGAATAAAAGAACGATTACAAACTTGCAAACGAAATAAAAAAAAAAGGAAGAAAATGAAAATCTTTTGGCTTGAAATCGCAAGTCCACTTTAACAACATTTATATCAGACTAACTTGTTCGGAATTTTAAGACCTACCGGAAGTCCCTCTTCCTCTATAAATATATATAAATATACATAAACAAAATTTATCTCAAAATATTTTTTTCCCAAACATAGAAAATTCAAATTTTTATACATAACAAATTTAAAAATAAATAAAATGTTTACTGAAAAAAAAGAAGTTGGCAAAAAAAAAAAAAAAAAAAAAATGGCAATTGTAAGCGAATTTATCCACAGAGGAAAATATATATATATATATACGCGACGACCTAATTGCTCTAGTGGTCTTCAAATGATCAGTATGCGCACCATTAACTCTCAAGTTTTCAAAAAGTCAGGACTCGACGAACGTGACCTACCTCCAAAATGTTTCCGTATTCGTTACACACACATACACACTCCTTCTTTTCTGACAATGCTTTAATCACTTGGCAAATTTATTCATTCTCAACTTTTCCCATTCCATTCGCGATAGTATTTTTTTTGTTTTCCATTTTCCTGGAATATTTATAATACTCTGATTTAATATTCCGAAAAAGTACTCTTATACTATGCAAGAGAAGGGACCTTACGTAAAAAAAAAAAAAATTTCAGGTTATGTTTGATAAAAATTTTCTAAATTAGGTAAAACAAAAAGTTTTTGAATTTTTATGCTATTTTTAGTGTTAGTATTTATTTGTATTAGTATTTATTAGTATTAATATTAGTATTTATTAGTATTAGTATTTATTAGTATTAGTATTTATTAGTATTAGTATTAGTATTTATTAGTATTAGTATTAGTATTTATTAGTATTAGTATTAGTATTTATTAGTATTAGTATTAGTATTTATTAGTATTAGTATTTATTAGTATTAGTATTTATTAGTATTAGTATTTATTAGTATTAGTATTTATTAGTATTAGTATTTATTAGTATTAGTATTTATTAGTATTAGTATTTATTAGTATTAGTATTTATTAGTATTAGTATTTATTAGTATTAGTATTAGTATTACTATGGTACCAGTTACTTTGGTACCAGTTACTAAGGTACCACTTACTATGGTACTAGTTACTATGGTACCAATTACTATGGTACCAGTTACTAAGGTACCAGTTACTATGGTACTAGTTACTATAGTACCCGTTACTTTGGTGCCATTTAGTTAAGTTGGTACCAGTTACTTCTGCACCAGTTACTTTGGTACCAGTTACTTTGGTACCAGTTACTAAGGTACCACTTACTATGGTACTAGTTACTATGGTACCAATTACTATGGTACCAGTTACTAAGGTACCAGTTACTATGGTACTAGTTACTATAGTACCCGTTACTTTGGTGCCATTTAGTTAAGTTGGTACCAGTTACTTCTGCACCAGTTACTTTGGTACCAGTTACTTTGGTACCAGTTACTAAGGTACCACTTACTATGGTACTAGTTACTATGGTACCAATTACTATGGTACCAGTTACTATGGTACTAGTTACTATAGTACCCGTTACTTTGATGCCATTTAGTTAAGTTGGTACCAGTTACTTCGGCACCAGTTACGTTGGTGCCATTTAGTTAAGTTGGTACCAGTTACTTCTGCACCAGTTACTTTGGTACCAGTTACTTTGGTACCAGTTACTAAGGTACCACTTACTATGGTACTAGTTACTATGGTACCAATTACTATGGTACCAATTACTATGGTACCAGTTATTATGGTACTAGTTACTATAGTACCCGTTACTTTGATGCCATTTAGTTAAGTTGGTACCAGTTACTTCGGCACCAGTTACGTTGGTGCCATTTAGTTACTGTGGTACCGGTCACAATGGTACCAGTAACTTTGGTACTAGTTATATTGGTACCACTTACTTTAGTACCAATTACTATGGTACTAGTTACTATGGTACCAGTTACTTTGGTACCATTTAGTTACAATGGTACCAGTAACTTTGATACTAGTTATGTTGGTACCAGTTACTATGGTATTAGTATTAGTATTAGTATTTATTAGTATTAGTATTTTTTGTATTAGTATTTATTAGTATTAATATTAGTATTTATTAGTATTAGTATTTTTTGTATTAGTATTTATTAGTATTAGTATTTTTTGTATTAGTAGTTAAGTCAGAAAAAAAAACGTTGAGTCAAAAATCACAAACATAACCTAAACATTTTTTTCTTAACGTCCCTTTTTGTCTATATCAAAAAAATTAAAACACTGAATTTTCTGCAAACAAAAAAAGAGGAACATAAAACAAAACAACGTTTTTTTGAGCGCAATAAGAAGATAAATAAAACAGAAAGTTGTCGAGTAAATTTTCGAGGGTAATTCTTTGCTCTGTCTGTTTAAAGTGCTTTTTAACTTGAAACTAGAGTACGAGTTGCAGGGTTAATAATATTATAAATATAAAACAAACTTTTGTAGGCATCTGTGACTATTAAATTGCCACTTTCTTTTCCATGAACGTGTTTGTATATATATATATATATGTAGTGGGGGAGTCATAAAAATTTTAAGTACGAAGCGAGTTTGCAAATTACGAAAGTAATGGGGCTTGCAGTGACTTCCGACGATAATAATATCGTATATATATATATAGAGAGAGAGAGAGAAAAGTTGATGAGACTCTTACCAATTCCTAGGTCCGGCCACGTTTCCCATATAGACCAAGCGATACCGCTAGTATTTTTTTTGACTTTCAGAATTTCGCACAGGTCGATTGTTCTCAAGTTCTTCTCCACAATTACAGTATTCCACGAGAGGTCGTCATTGTAAAAACGTAATTCTTCCTAATTAAACAAAAAAAAAAAGAGAGTATAAGTAAATATATTTCAATTATAAAATGAGGAAAATGATAATTAAAAATAAATTCCTTAAAAAAAAATTATATATAAAAAAAAGGAAGCTAGGTCAATTTTTTCTGCAAAAAGACATTTTTTTTTTAACCGAAAATAACAATTTCCTGTAATATTTTGATCGAAGTACAATTTGATAGAGCTAATAATAATTGCAAATATAATATTTTCACACATTACGATACTTAAAAGAAAAAATGATGATGGTAATAAAGTTCAGTAATCAATAGCAAATTGTATAAAAAATATTTACATAATCATTTCAGTTATTTCTTTAGCGAAAAAATAAACTGCAAATTGTTTAGTAGAAAGACAATTACTGTTATTTGTATAAATAGTTTCAAGAACTAAATATTAAAAATTTAATTATGAATAAATAATATTAATAATTTCTAATAATTATATAATTGTAATAATATTTTAATATATGTATTTATATAATATTGTAATAATTTATAATATACATAGTATAATAATTAATTATTCATCTCTTAATTGAGTAATTTATTATTTTAAATTACAACCAATTAAGAAAATTAATTATCAAGTAATTATAATAATAAATGAGTAAAGTAAAACTCGTTATGAATAATTTTACATATAGTTTAAAATATTGAAAAATCTATAAAATAATAATTGATGATTTTTCAATAAATAATTAAATTGAAAATATGATGCGATAATGGAAAAAAGAAAAAAAAAAAAAAACTGTGTGTGACATTTTTTAAAACGAACCTGTTTTTCATTATCAGACGTCTCCTCTTCCACTTGATTCTCTTTTCTTCGTGCCCTGTGCATTACATTATTTAGACCATAAATCGTGGAAGTGGAACCAAGTCGCTTGTAACTTCCGGTTCGACCAGAAGAACGATTTCCAGGCAAATTTCCACCACTATCGAGACATGAACACATTTTTGGAAACCAATCTGAAAGATTTAATAAATATTTTTTTTTTTTTTAGAGAGAGAGAAAAACCAAATTGAAATTATAAAATATTTAGGAAAAATTTCTAGAAAAAAATGTGCAATAGCGATTGTGAAAAAAAATTTGTCCATTGTACCATAAAATTGTAATTACAATTTTGGACTAAATTAGAAAAAAAAATTAAAGGAAGCAAAAATAAGAATTTGTAAATGTGCAACATTTATAGAAATCTATTTTAATCTACTGCAACAACTATTTAGTAATTTAGTAATAAAAATATAATTTATATACAACAAATTATACCAAAAATTTATTTTTCAGAGAACAAATCTTTACAGCAATATGTTTCTCTAGAATAGCGAAAACTTTCCCCGTTTTAGTGAAACATATCGTTGTTTCAAAGATTTTTTTTTCGTGTAGAAAAGCAAGCAACATATTTACAAAAAAAAACTTTTTGAAAATACTTAGATACATTGAAATAGTAAATATTTATAATAAAATTATAAAGAAATAAAAAATTCTAATATTATTATTTGAAAATTATACGAAATAAATTATTTTTTTATATTATATAACTACCAATATTTTTCTGATATTGAAAAAAAAATTCAATGGAGAAATATAAACATTTTTGCATGTAGTAATCATGATAAATTGTTAATCCGAGTGCGAAATTTGAATCGAACTGTATATGATAGCTTCATTTAAAACAATACAAAACGATATTGTATCACTCTTTCTCATTGCGCATATTTGAATCAGCGAAAAAAAAGAAAAAATTTCTTTGTCCGTAAAAGCTTTTATTTGAATTTAATTATAGTAAAGTGACGAAAATTTATTTAATTTAATTATTTAACTGAAATAATAATAATAATTTAATGTTATATAATAGTCGAATTTAATTAACACTCAAAATATTATTATAATTTATAATTTTATTTTTTCAATGGGTAATTAAATATTGATTATTAATTTTCGTGTTTTCCATATATATATATATATAAATATATATATCCTTACTCTACAAATATAGGTAAAATGCATTTTGCGGTTATACAGCACAAGTCACGCGATTTAGAGCGAGTATCGATTAATTGATAATTCTGGCCCGGGTAGGCCAAATAGGACAATTATTTTCATGGTCTTTCATTGTTGCTTGCCATAATGGCAATCAAACACTCAACAGCAGCGAAAAGTGAAAAGTAAATCAGGCTGAAGTTTGTAGCTGATTATCAAAATGAGAGAATATTATTTTCACATTGAGATATATTAATTAAAAATTTTAATTCCTCGGAAATAATATTTTTCTAATTATTTACTGTTCTAAATATTTAAAATTTCTATATAAATAAAAATTATTAATAAAAATTATAAATTAAATTTATAAACAAAATTTATAAACAAAATTTATAAATAAAATTTATAAACAAAATTTATAAATAAAATTTATAAACAAAATTTATAAATAAAATTTATAAACAAAATTTATAAATAGAAATTATAAATAGAAATTATAAATATAAATTATAAATAAAAAATACAGTATAAAAATTAAATAATATTAAAATATTAGACTATAATAAATTGTAGGAAAATACGATCGGTTATAACCATTGTTTGCAACGAGGACAATTATCTATTTGTAACTATCATTGATTTAATTGATGATCCAGATGCAATAACACGCTTATAGGCTCGAAACGCCTACACATGAAGTTTTCGTTTATTCCCTTGGCTGTATAAAATATAACAACCAATCATATTTCAGTATCTTCAAAATGAGCCAATCAATAAACGAAAATTCCCTTTAGGCGTCATTACCATTTAAAGGCAGTTATTACATCCGAACTATTATGGTACTTTGGTACCAGTTACTAAGGTACCAGTTACTATGGTACCAATTACTATGGTACCAGTTACTAAGGTACCAGTTACTATGGTACCAATTACTATGGTACCAGTTACTAAGGTACCAGTTACTATGGTACTAGTTACTATGGTACCAATTACTATGGTACCAGTTACTAAGGTACCAGTTACTATGGTACTAGTTACTATGGTACCAATTACTATGGTACCAGTTACTAAGGTACCAGTTACTATGGTACCAGTTACTATGGTACCAATTACTATGGTACCAGTTACTAAGGTACCAGTTACTATGGTACTAGTTACTACAGTACCCGTTACTTTGGTGCCATTTAGTTAAGTTGGTACCAGTTACTTCGGCACCAGTTACGTTAGTGCCATTTAGTTACTGTGGTACCGGTCACAATGGTACCAGTAACTTTGGTACTAGTTATATTGGTACCAGTAACTTTGGTACTAGTTATATTGGTACCACTTACTTTAGTACCAATTACTATGGTAATCATATTTCAGTATCTTCAAAAAGAGCCAATCAATAAACGAAAATTCCCTTTAGGCGTCATTACCATTTAAAGGCAGTTATTACATCCGAACTATTATGGTACTTTGGTACCAGTTACTAAGGTACCAGTTACTATGGTACCAGTTACTATGGTACCAGTTACTATGGTACCAATTACTATGGTACCAGTTACTAAGGTACCAGTTACTATGGTACTAGTTACTATGGTACCAATTACTATGGTACCAGTTACTAAGGTACCAGTTACTATGGTACTAGTTACTATGGTACCAATTACTATGGTACCAGTTACTAAGGTACCAGTTACTATGGTACTAGTTACTACAGTACCCGTTACTTTGGTGCCATTTAGTTAAGTTGGTACCAGTTACTTCGGCACCAGTTACGTTAGTGCCATTTAGTTACTGTGGTACCGGTCACAATGGTACCAGTAACTTTGGTACTAGTTATATTGGTACCAGTAACTTTGGTACTAGTTATATTGGTACCACTTACTTTAGTACCAATTACTATGGTAATCATATTTCAGTATCTTCAAAAAGAGCCAATCAATAAACGAAAATTCCCTTTAGGCGTCATTATCATTTAAAGGCATAGTTATTGCATCCGAACTATTATTGCAATAAAGATTATTTCTTCCCTTCTATAATTAACCAAACTACCGAAAAAGTACTTAAATCAAAGTTAAAAGTACTTTAAATTTATCAAAGTACTTAACTTTGATAATGTTACTTAACTTTATTAGAAAAAAAATTTACTTTTTAAGTAACTATCAATGCTAAGTACTTTGATAAAAAGTAATTTAAGATCAAAGTTAACAGAAAATTATATTTTCCAAATAAAAATGTCTATAAAATCTTGTCAAAGATGTTATGAATATTTCTCACGAATCTTAGATTTCTGTGGCAAAAAGAAGAAAAAAAAAAAAAAGCAACCCTTCTTTAGGCCGCACTTGTTCCTTCGATTTGTTCATGTTTGCTTAGTGGACCCTTGCTTATTTCTATTTCAAGCCAACCTGTTTCTCTTCAGCCATCCATGCATGGTGGCAAGCGCTCCATTATTATTACATTTGGCTTTTACTAAACGACACATTATTCGTTAATGTGGCAATAAACTTATATTTAAATTAGTTTATATATGTGTGTGTGGTTTTTTTTACAATATACTAATTTTAATTGATAATAATTATTCGAATATAAAATTTAATTACCAAAAGATTGTAATCTTTCTTTTTATATATCAAATATTTTTTTATTTCAATTATTATTGTAATTAAATTTTACTTGTATTATTAAATACAGACTTTTGTCAAAATCGAGATAAAAAAATGTAATTGAATAATTAAATAAAGTTAATTTGCCAAACCATAAGGAAAGTAATATAAAATGGAGTTCATACTATAAATAGTGACAAGTATAAATATATTTCTATATCTGGCAAAAATCAATTGAATTTCACAGCTTCAGCGTAATATTAGTTTACTGGTATGCAGATAATAAAAGAGTTCACGTGAGAGAGCAGGTGAAATGGGAAACCTTATTAAAATCAGCTTTCTGTATATAATACATATATATAATATTCATCGGGTGTTTGCTAAAACATATATAATTGTTTGTGCATTAGTTTTTGTCGTTATGTTTAATAAAAATATAATATTTTAAATAATTATTCAAAATTATTTTTAAAATTTTTCACTTTTTTTTTTTTAATTTTCCATATTTCGCTATATTTTTTTATCTAAGAAACCCTACAAAATTTTTATTCACTTTTTGGTTGGGATTATTTCCAAATAATTATTTTTTAACGACAGAAATAAATGTATATATATATATTTCTATATCAAGTATAGAAAAAGCTAATTTAGTCAAATGTTTCTTTCATTAAATATTTATTGTACTTAAAAATTCTAAATCTATAAAGAAGGGCGAAAGTGATAATAAAGTTTATGAGAAAAAACTAATTTTTAATTTTTAATAAAGGCATTGAAATATTTTATGACACGGATCAAAGAAATCAACTTTTTGACGTGGGGAGAAACTTAAGTATTTATAACGTTTCTATATTAAAAAAAAAAATTTTTTTATATATATATATAGCTCTCATCGACTTTCTCTACCGCGGGCAATATGCTTTTCATAAGTAGGCTATAAATGTTATCGTTTTAAAAAAAATGAAAAAAAAAATACATTTAATTGATGCAAAACATAAAATATTTAGTTCTACTTAACGATATATTTCAATATTATAATAAAATAACAAAAATTTATAAAAAAGAAAACTAATAAAAAAAAAATAAATAAGTTGACTGATTGTATTACAACAATATTAATTAAACTCGTTTAATTTACCCTTATCTTTAACAAATAAATTTTACAAATAAGTATGCTAATTAAATACCTTGTCCTGAACAACTTGATTTCTTGTTCACCTGTATCATATGTATAATACTTTTTTTTTTTTTTCGTCACACATATATGAAAAAAAAAAAAATCAAAGTTGCTATTTTGTTGCACGTCTCGGAGACATAAATCATTCATTCTCGTTTGGTATTTAAATTACGAAAACCTGTTGATAGCTAAAGGCAGTCTTTAACGAGTATACTTAAAGTGT